AAACAAATCAGAGGGGTTTGAATGATGGTGATGGACAAGCTGAAACAATAAGCTTGCCTAACATCAAAACTATTATTGAAGATTACGAATTGTATTTCACAAAATGTCCAGCAACTGCTGTTACAAATTTTTATTTGAAACCATGTGCTTTAAATGCTAGTAAGTAGCTTCTTACTTTAAAAATTTTTTGAATTTTTTTATCTAATTTAGTTCTTGTAGAATTTTAATTGTAATTTGGTCAAAATGTATACTTTAAACTCTTTAATAAAAATTTTTATTTTAGTAAAATTTAGTACAAAATGGTTTTATATATGTGCATTGCCTGAACATACATTAAAAGGTTACTTCTGACATATTTGTGAAACTACAAATATAACAATCAGTAATAGGATCATTTCTAATCATTCAGATCAAAAGACCTCTGTTTAGGTATTAAAAGGGTTAGGATATTCTGACTCGGTTGTGATGTCCATCATACATCATAAAACTCAGCAGGGTTTAGCATTGTACAAACGCCACAATTCAGTTATGCAACAACAGGGATTGAATAGATTTTTTAATGCTCTAATATTAGTTTCGAAGTCTCCACCACCTGAATCACAGGACTATGAAAATAGTGAAATGGCTGATCAAGTGAAAAATAGTGAAATGGCAGATCAATTTAAAAATATTTAAATGACTGATTATGTTGAAAAAATATTCAGAGATTTTACATTGACAAACAATTATACATCATTTAATACTAGTGAGAAATTTTCAGCAATTGAATCTTCACAAAATGTACTAAATAAACTTGATCAAAATGTGCAAAAAGATACTGTTAAAGAATTTTTAGCTATTGACTTAACCAAATCTTTACAAAATACTCTAAATAACCTTGATCAAAATGTGCAAAATGAAAATCAAATGAATTTGAAAAGTGAAACCCAACAAAAAAAAGATCAAATCGATAAAGAAATCAAAGGTCAAAACCAACAAACAAATAAAGAAGCAATGGAAAAATTCCTTACCAGGAATGTGATCTATAATTGCATTTTTAACTTCGGGTTACTTTAAATAAATTAATTGCTTAATGAAAATAACAATAATTAATAATAATAATAAATAAATAAATGTACTTAGTTTTTAATGCATAAATAATAAAGTATTTTCGAATATTGCTTCAATATTTGCGAATTTGAGAATTATTAGCTTGTGTAACTAGTTATGCATAAAAATATCAGGGCAAAAAAATGCCATGATCATAAGAGTTTGCACGATAACTAAATAAACTTAGAAACTTATTTGCAGTTTAAATCTGTTTTTAGAAAAATTTAAAATATTTATAGTATATCACTTAATAATATTTATATCAAAACTTTATTTGGCAATTACTTAACTAAAATTAACAATTTTTTTTATTAAATTCTACAAATCTGTAGAATTTAAATAAAAAAATTATTGATTTTAGTTAAATAGTTGCTAAAATATTTTTAATTAAAGTTTTTAAAAAATTTTAATAGTTATAATAACTTAATTAATATTTATACCAGAAATTTAATTAAAAATATCTTAGTAATTACTTGACAAAAATCAATAATTTTTATATTTGAATTCTACAGATCTGTAAAACTCAAATAAAAAAAATTATAAATTTTTAGTCAAGTAGTTGCCAAGATATTTTTAATCAAAATTTTTAAAAATTTTAAAAATATTTATATTATTTAATAATAACTATAGCAGATTAAAATAAAACTAGATTAATATAAAATATTATATAATATAAAAAATATATATGACTAAAAAATAAAAATTTTTGAAATATATTTTTAGAGTTAAAGATTAGAGTTAGGGGTTAAATTTGAAGTAGAGTTTATAATAAACAAGTATAAATAAGTTTTAAATAATTAAATAGAATTCAAATAAAAAAAAGTTTATTAATTTTAGTTAAGTATTTACTTAAATATCTTTGATTAAAGTTTTAAAAAATTTTAAATATTTATATCACTTAATTGGTAATCTACAAGTCAACTAGAAAGTGATTATAGTGAAATGTAATAAAAATTAAGGTTTTGCAAATATGATATACATATATCTAAAATTATTTTTGTACTAAGTTAATCACTTTTCTAATTTAAGAGACTTTTGCAGAGCTTATTAAAACATATCTAATAGTAGTTAAATTATTTAAATTAGCCTAATAGATACTAATATATCTTTAAAAAATATTTCTTTTACTATGTAAATTTCTTTAAAACAATACTATTGTTTTACAAAATTTATATAATTAAAGAAATATTTTTTAAAAATATCTCAGAATTCACCAGACCAATTTAAATGATTTAACTACTATAAGATGCATTTTAACAAGCTCTACAAAAATCTTTTAAGTTAGAAGAGTGGTTATCTTAGTATGAAAAAAGTTTCAATATATATATACTACATTTGCCTTTCACATATTTGCTTAACTCAATTTTACATATTTGCTTGACTTAATTTTATGTATTTGCTTGGCTTAATTTCACATATTTGCTCAGCTCAATTTCAATATTCACTTGACTCAATTTTACATATTTGTTTGCCTTAATTTCACAAATTTACTTGTTTAATTTTACATATTTGCTTAACTTAATTTTATATATTTGCTTGGCTCAATTTTATATATTCTCTTGGCTCAATTTCACATAGTTGCTTAACTCAATTTTATGTATTTGCTTTGCTTAATTTTATAAATTCACATGATGTTGGATTATTAGCTTGTAAGTATAAACTTCATTGTATTTATTTTTAATTAGTTTTTTCAACTCTATGTTATATAATTTTATTTATTTCTCTACTAAATTATTAAGATGTAAGTACAGTCAACTCTGTATATACCGGACTACAGATTCTGGATGGTTTTGTTTGGTATAGAGTAAGTTTGTTATATAAGATTACTCTCTCTATACCGAACAGTTTGGTATATATAGCTAACCAATAGAGATATGTGCACGTGACCAAGATCAAAAAAAAATTTATTTAGTAATAAAAAATATTTAATTTAATCATGCAATACACAGATTACTTCCCAAGACAAAGTGTATACATATAAGATATGTACATACATACACATGCAAATAATAAAAAAAAACAAAAACTATTCTAAAAAAAAATTTTTTTTACTAAAAATAGTGGCATAGATCAGCTTGTTTGAGATTATTTATAATATTTAACCGAACCTGCTTGTGAAGTTTTCTTAAAATTTTAACTTCTTCCTCGACTTCACCAAACTCTAGTTCTTGCTCATATAAGAATCTTAGTGTTTGGGTTACGCAATTTTCTGCATCTGTATAAGTGATTTTTTCTTGTTCAATAGGAGTTTTCTCTTCTTTCTCACTTTCATTTTTGTCTTCGCTTT